GGCCGCGCTCGGGGCGCTGCCCCCGGCGGCGCCCGCCTTTTGCCCCCTCGGGACGACCTAGAGCCGGGGCGCGCGCGACCAACCCCGCCCCCCCCCCCGCGCCCCGCCAAAAACCCCTTACTTGCGCCGCCGCGTGAGGCGCTTCATGAGGCTCTCGACGCCGGGCGGCGGTTTGCGCGCGTCGACGGCCGCGCGGTACGCGGCGATCTTCTTGGGCATGTCCGCGAGGTTGGCCTCGACGGACGCGAAGCGGTCCGCGCGCGTCCGCTCGCGCTTGTGGAGCTTGGGCGCGGTGAGGACGCGCGGCGCCGCGACGGCGTCCCAGGCCTCGAGCCACCCGCCGCGCGACGCGTCGAAGGTCCCGAAGGTGCCCGACGCCAGGGCCTGCTTCCGCGCGTCGGCGGCCTGGCGCCGGCTCAGGAGCGGCCGCCGCCACGGGTTGGCGCCGGGGCCGCCGACGCGCTGCGGCTTGAGGGCCGCCGCGCCGTGCTTCGCGAGCTTCCGGATGACGGACGCCGACTGGGCGGACATGGCGCGGGGCGGCGGCGGCGGCGGCGACGAAGGTCTCGCCCCGCCGATTCCCCGCCGGCGATGGTGGCTCGGGCGTCGGTGGCTGCCGCGGCGACGACGACCGGCTCCACGAAGCGCTCGACGATGATGCCGTCTCATTGAACCTTTGGAGGGCTGCCCGAGCCGCGCGCTCTCCCTGTGGTCGCCGCCGACGCGCGCCGCCGTCGCGCTCGGCGCCCCGAGCCGCCGCGCGAGCCCGGCGCGAGCCGCCGCGGCGCGCCGTCGCCATGGCCGCGGCGAAGGGCGCGACCGTGGCGCTGCTCAACGCCGTTCCGTTGAAGAAATTCCCCCTGCTGCTCAAGCGCATCATCGAGCGGCTCGGGGCGAGCACGCGCGACGCCTTCTTCGACGACGCCGAGGAGCGGCAGCTCGCGGGCCTGCTGGGCGTGGCGCCCAAGGACCTGCGGAGCATCTGCGAACTGTGCGCGTACCAGTTCGAGCGCGCCGCGCGAGCCGGCCGCGCGGCGAACTTTGAAGCCCGCGCCGGGCGCGGTCCGCGCGGGGCGCGCGCGCGCCTCGAGCACGCGCCGAGAGCGGGGGCGCTCGTCCAAAAAAAACGACCATCGTCGACCGCGCCGCGGACGGCGCGGTCGCGGCGCGAGCGTCCGCGTCGCGCGCGCAGGTACTCCATCGAGAAGCCGGACGCGCTCGAGCGGCGCCTCGTCGACGACGTGGGCGTGGACGCGGCCCACGCCGCGGCGACGAAGGCCGTCTGGGCCGCCGAGGCCGCGGCGTACGTCTGCGCGCTCCGCGAGCGGCACATCGTCGGGCCCCGGGTGCTCAGGGACTCGTCCTGGGAGCTCCACCTCACCATGGCCGAGTCCGGCGGCGGCGTCTCGCGCAAGGACCCGACGGCCATCTTCGAGCTCGACCTCGCGCCCCACGACGCGCCGTCCGGCGACGGCGCGCGCGACGCGCCCGGCGCGGAGGTGCTGAGCGTCGAGTGCTCCCACGCGGAGCTCTACGACCTCTTCGGCACGCTCCAGGACATCCAGGCCGCCATCGACCAGCTCAACTAACCGCGCGGCCTGGACAAAGTTAGAAGGAGACGGGGGGAGGTCCCGCGCGGCCGCGTCGGCCGCCGGCGGGGGCGCCTCACTCCTCGCCCTTCATCAGGTCCATGGGCTCGATGAGGCCCGTGCGCGGCGTCTGCGAAGGGGGGGCGGGGCGGTCGGCGCGGCCGTCCGGGCGGGAGGAGGCGGCGCGGCGGCGACGCACCACCTTGTTGCAGCCCTTTGGGCTGTAGAAGGAGATGAGCGTCGCGAGCGTGCAGAAGAAGCCGAAGCCCCCGAACCACCACTGGAGCCCGACGCCTGCGCGCGAGGGGGCGTCGGGGGCGGCGCGCGGCGAAACGAGACGCACCCGACGAGACGTGCGTCGCGTCGAAGTCGATGCAGGTCTCGGCGGCGACGCCGTCGTCCCAGACGAGCCTGCGGGGGCGCGTTTGTTGACCGGCGCGCCGACGGCGTTTCTGGCGGGGGCGCGGCGGCGCGCTCGTGCTCCTCGTGGAGCCGATTTTTCGGGGCCTGGGTGCGCAGGTACGTCGGCGGGGGCGGGCCGCCGCCGCCGCCGCCTTTGGCGGGCCTCGAGGAGCGGAACTGGCGCGTCGGCGGCGCGGCGGGCCGGCGCGCGACGGCGCGCGCGAGCTGCCGGGAGGCGTACATCGATCGCGTCCACCAGGCGTTCGAGCTACAATTGCATTCATGATGCAGCTCGGAGCGCTAGCTGATCTTCCGCCGCGCGTACCGGCGGACCGCGGCCGGTACCTGGATTACCCGGCGAAATTGCTCCGGCGGCTATACTTGGGGAAGCCTGCCGCGCGACGGCGACTGCATGTGCCACTCACGGACTCCGAGGAGCTGGCGCGCGCGCGTGTCCTTGGGCGACGACGGACTCCGAGGAGCCGCGCGCGACGGCCGTGTTCTTGGGCGCGACGACGGTTTCGTGCCGCCGTCGCCGCAGGGGGCTGGCCCTGGATCTACTCCTGGCCGAGCGCGAAGTCGAAGTAGACGAAGGTCACGCGCCACAAAGTCAGGTCCGGGTCCTCGGCGCCGATGACGCCGTGCATGTACTCGGCGTTCACGACGCCGTCGAACGAGTTGACGCCGAGGTCCTGGGGGCAGATCTCAATGCTGGCCTCCTTGTCCGCGGGCTTGACGTTGAGGCGGAGCCCCGAGACGCGCTCGACGTCGACCGGCCCGCAGCGGACGAGCTTGCCCGTGTCCGGGCACTTGCGCGCGTAGATCACGACCGTCGTCGTGCAGCGCGTCGGGACCGCCACGGTGCGCTTCTCCGTCGGGTGAGTGCCCGGCGCGTTGTCGCGGTGCAGGTCGTGCGTCGTGCGCGACGCCGCGTCACCGCCGGCGGCGCGCGGCGGCGGCGTGACGATGACGCGGCGCATGAGCTTGTGCTTCATCGCGAAGCTCCCGCGCGGGTCGTCCACCGGGTACTTGGAGTTCGGCCGGTGGTTCGTCGGGAGCGTGGAGAGGGCCTCGCACGCGTCCTGGACCTCCTTCGACGGCGCCGTGGCGCCGCGCTGCTGGCCTTTGAAGGACCCGGACGGGCCGCAGTACGCGTGGTTCATGGGCTGCTTGCCGCCGCTGAAGGCCGTGCCCACGTTGTGCATGCCGCCGCGGGCCAGTTCCTCCGGGCTCGAGACTTCGTCGAAGAGATTCTTGCGGATCTCGGACGTCGACACAAGCTCCTCGAAGCCGGCCTCCGCGTCGGCGCGGATGACCTGGACGGCCTTGACGCGCTCCGGGCCCGCGGACTCGAGCGGCATGAGCCGCGCGCGCTGCTGGCCGTCCTTGTCGAAGCCCGCGCCCGTGAGCTTGCACTTGTCGTACAGGAGCAGGCCCGGCTCGTCCCCCGCGTGGAACATGCCGAACTCCTCCTTGATGTGCTGCTTGGCCCGCACCGACGGCCAGCTCGCGAACCGCCGCGCGGCCTTGCTCTCCGTGGACACGGTGCCCCCGGCCGCGACGAGGGCCTTGCGGCCGGCCGGGGTCCGCGTCGCCGCGGCGACGGCCTCGTTCGCGACGGCCTCGGCCTTCTCGGCCGCGGCCTCGGCCTTCTCGGCCAGGGCCGCGAGGTCCGCGGCGTTCGGCTCCGCGGCCTTGGCCGCGGCCTCCGCGACCTCGGTCGCGGCGTCGGCCTTGGCCGAGGCCTCGGACGCCGCGGCCTGGGCAGCGACGGCCCGGGTCGCCAGGTCTTCCAGCGCCTTGGCCTTGGCCGCGGCGTCGGCCTTGGCCTTGGCCTTGGCCGCGGCGTCGGCGTCGGCGTCGGCCTTGGCCTTGGCCTTGGCCGCGGCGTCGGCCTCGGCCTTGTTCGCGTCCGCCAGCTCGTCCTGAGACGCGACGACGAAGACGGCCCCGGCCTTGGCCGCGTCGGCCAGCAGCGCCGCCAGCACGCTCTTGTCGAGCGTTGCGTGGAACGCGTCGCGGAGCTCCACGAGGCGGCCGAGCGCGGCGCCCGAGCACGGGCCGACGCGGCGGAAGATGCAGCGCAGCGAGTACCCTTCGAGTAGGCCTCGTTTCTTTAGCCATTGGCCGATGCGGACGCCGTTGCGCCCGAGCGCGTACACGAGGCACGCGCACCGCGTGACGTTGTCCGCGCAGCCCGGGAGCTGGCCCGCCTCGGCGAGGTCGAGCAGGCGGCACGCGTACGCGCGCTCCTGTGGTGTCCACTCTCCCTCCCGAATCGACGAATTGGCCTCCTTGGCCTTGGCCTCGCGCTCCTTGGCCTTGGCCTCGCGCTCCTTGGCCTTGGCCTCGCGCTCCGCCTTGGCCGCGGTCGGCTTGGGCGCCCGGGCGCTGCGGCGCTCGTCCTGGGCCGTCACGCAGCCGATCCGCTCCACGGAGGCCTCTAACGCGATGTCCATGGACTCGAGCTGCTTCGTGACGACCTCGGGCGCGTCCGCGGCCCACTGGGCCTTGGCGCCGTCGTCGAGCGCCTTCCAGCCCGCGCGGAGCTCCTTCTCGACGAGCGCCTTCTTAATCTTGTCGCTCGCGTCCGCGTGGTCGCGCTCGACGGCGGCCTTGGCCTCGGAGCGCTTCTCCTTGCGGTAAAAGTCCTTGCCGCTGAGCTGCTTCGTGACGACCTCGTCCGCCGCCGCGCCCGTGCCCGCGGCCTTCGGCGTCGCGCCCGACGCGGGCGTCGCGGCCGGCGGCGGCGCGGCGGCCTCGGCCGGCGCGGCGTTGGCCGTCGGGACCGGCGCGGCCGCGGACGGCGGCGGCGCGGCGGCCTCGGCCGGCGCGGCGTTGGCGGTCGGGACCGGCGCGGCCTCGGCCGGCGGCGGAGCGGCGGCATCGGGCGCGGCGCGGCGCTCCGCGAGGAACTCGTAGACCTCGTCGAGCATCTCCGCGACGTCCGCCGCGCTCGTGCCCGCGACCTCCGGCGCCGCCGCCGCGGACGCGAAGACGAGGTCGCCCTCGGCCGTCACGCAGCCGATCCGCTCCACGGAGGCCTCTAACGCGATGTCCACGGACCGCGGGCGCAGCCGGCGCGACGACGCCAACGCCGGGGGGAGCAGGTACTGGGGAGCCGCTCTGAG